CAAGAGCAATGAATCCAAATGCAAAGGAGTTTGTTCCTGGGGTGAAGTACTAAAATATTTGAGTAGACGGGGCCCTCTTTTGGTGGATGTAGCACAATTTCCACACTGTGAAGGCAGTATTAGAAGACTTAATTGTTAAAAGCTCTCTCGTCACTGTGTTACACTTATGCATTGCCAAAGTTTTTGTTAGTCTTGCATGCTTAATAAAAGTGCTGAGACTGTTAAGTAAAACGCTGTCAAACATTTACTGAAAATAGTATTGGCCCCATAGCCAATGTAAAGACAGTGAGGAAAGGAGCACCAGTCAAGTTGTGACAAAGCACCAAAGTAAACAAACTCTAAATCTTACTAAATTGTCATCTTTGAAGCTAAACTGATCCCTTAGGATTAACTAACACTTGTTAATGTCTGCTCTTTGTAGAAATGAGTAAATTTAAATTACATTTCAGATTTTTCAGTTGCATTTGTCCTTAATAAGAATAATCTCTTTGAGGCAGGAGGATTGTTGCAAGTTGGAGGCCAGCCTCAGCTACATAGTAAATTCAAAGCCAACTTAAACTATACATAGCAAGACCCTGTCTCAAAAATACAAAACAAAAAAATATTTTCTTAACAATATCTGATAATTTGAAATAACGCTGTGTTGTTGGTGACTGAGGTAACATGGTAATGATAGATAAGAGCTAGTTCTGGCTTTTCTGGTATTATCATGTTAGAAATACTGAATAATTCTAATGATACATTTGAGGAATATGTGATTTGAGAATGGTGTCTTCTGAGGATTCACCTCGTCACAGCCATATCTGTGTGGAGTCTAATTTGAGACAAACACCAGCTTATAATCCAGTCGAACAAAGAGATTGTTACATGATTTGAATGGTGCTTTTCCTTGCTTTGTTAACCATCGTGACAGTAGTCTGCAGCACAACTTTTCTTTTTAACAAAGCTAGAACAGTTTTGGCTTCTTAAACTTCATATTTGGGTAGGTTAAGCTGCCATACGTGTTCAGTGTGAATAGTGTTTAAGTTGAAAATATTGTAAAAAAATTATATTTTTTCAAAAATATTTAAAAAAATAAAATAATAGTAGAACTGAACTGGTGGTATGTTTATTGGTGCTAGACTACAGACTCTGTAGTGGTGATATTCATTTTAATGTGGACTCGGTACAATCCTCTCCGCAAAACATGCTGAGAAGGCAGGACTCACTAGAACCCATAGCCGCAAATATGTCGGAATGTATTTATCTTTCAACAGTACATTAATGAAATAAACCCAGCCACCCTGTGCTTGCTTTTTGTTGCCCCAGACTGCAGTGTGAAAGCATCTGTAGACAGCTGTGTTAGGAAACTATGAAATAGAAAATCCTATAATTCAATGGTAAAGTGCTTGCCTAGCAAGCATGAACCCCTGGGTTCAGCCCTCAGTACTTCAAAAAGAAAAAGAAATGATAACCAAGCAATATAATAGTAACTTCATAACAGTATAATGTCATTGGTTTCTGTCCTTCAGTAGGACTTGAGATTATTAAACTGAAAGTTAAGATCCTAATGTCATTTTTGGCTTATATTCTTCATGGGAAGTTCTGAAAGTCTGTTTTACTTATTTGTACATGCATGCAGTGCCGGGTACTGAAGCATGGCCATTGTACATTCTAGACAAGTGCTGTGCCACTGAGCTACAGCCACAACCCTAACAGGAGTCTCTTAAAATTTTTTATTTATTTATCTAGAAATACAAGGTCTCACTATTATAGCTCAGGTGGCCTTGAACTCAGTGATCTCTGCCTTAGCCTCCTGAGTCCTGGGATTATAGGTGTGTTATCACATACCCTCCTTTAAATAATAAATGGTGAGGGAGTGTTTTGTTTTTTTCTTGTAGTAGGGATCGAGTTACCTTTTTTATTTTTATTTTGAGACAAGGTCTCCCTAAGTCATTAAGTTTCCCAAGCTGAGCTGAAACTTCAAATCCTGCTTCAGCCTCAAAAATTGTTGGGAACACAGTTGTGTACCACCATGCCTGGCAATAGGTGGGTGTCTTTTTGTTTTGTTTTTTTCTTGGTATTGGGGATCAAACTCGGGACCTTACACTTGGAAGACAGGCAGCGGCACTACTGAGCTAAATCCCTGGCCCTAGGTGGGTTTTTAAAAGAAGTTCTGAAATAGACAAGCATGCTTGGCTTTTTTTTTTTAGCCATGATTCAACCACTCAGTCTCCATTTCTCTTACAGCTTCATATATCATAAGTGGCACAACCAGCTGCCAAATATATGTGACTCATAGGTTCTTTCCCTCTGAGCCCAGGAGCAAATGAGTTCACTTCCATATACTGCTGAATAATTGCAATGTGGTATAATAGCCACCAATTAGGCACTATAACCTAATGATCAAGTGTAAAGAATTCTTGGGTGTGATTCTTACAATCATGAAACGTTCTGTTTCTTGTGCCTTTGCCCAAGTGTAAAATGCCGACAGGACTTTTTTAAAAATTTTTAAAGATTTCAGGGCTGGAGATTTAGCTCAATGGTTCTCGTACCAGCCTTGAAAGGACAAGGTCCTGAGTTTGATCCTTGGTACCAAAAAAAAAAAAAATGTCTTGGATTTCAGAGTGTTTTGTTTATTTTGAGTACAGAGCCTGCCTCACACATGCTAGGTAAATTGGGTGGCCATCCCATTTAGCATTTTAGATTTCAGACTAGAGATGCTTAACCCAGAAATGCCTATACAAATATTCTAGAATCTGACAAAGATTTCTGATACTGAAGATTTCAATAAGGGATATTCAACATAGTAAGAATTACCTATCTCCAGACTGATTTATTACTATACTTCAAGCACCTAACACAGTTCTGGCATGCTGAAAGTCCTGTTTAAGTGGTTGCTGTTCTTATTTTTAAAAAGTCTAGGGCCGGGGATTTAGCTCAGTGGTCCCTCTGCCTGCTTTGCAAGCGCAAGGTCCCGAGTTCAATCCCCAATACCCCAAAAATTAAATGAATAAAAAATTAAAAGTCTGGGGCCAGGGATTTAGCTCAGTGGTTCCAGCTCCTGCCTCAAGTGTGCATGGGCCTGAGTTTGATCCCCGGTGCAAAAAAAAAAAAGTCTAGGGCTGGGAGTGCTGCTTAGTGGTACAGTATGTACTTCATATTCATGAAGCCCCAAGTTCAGTACCCAGCACCATCAGTGGGGAAAAAAAACCTTGGGTGGAGTGTACATGTAATCCCAGCTACTCAGGAATCTGAGACACAGGGGCCAGGCTGGGCAAATTAGTGAGGCCCTATCTGAAAATACTTTAAGAAAATTTTTTTAGAAGGGCTGGGGTTGTTTTTTAGCTGTCTCTTGATTCAGTCTCCAGTTCTTAAAAAAACAAAGCTCATCTCTTAGAACTTTGTTTGCCAAGCAGAACATGCACATTGAAACCACTTCAATGGAGCCAGGCGTAGTGGCGCAGGCTTGTAATCCCAGCACTCGAGGCTGAGGCAGGAGGATCATTGTGAGTTCAAGACCAGCCTGGGCTACGTAGTTCCAGATCAGTCTCAACTACATAGAGACCCTGTCTCAAAAAACAAAAAGACAAAAAAAACAACACTTCAATGTTCAGAGCGCTTTGCATTCTGCATTCCTCTAGACAGGTTAAGTTTCACTAGCAGCTGCATACATGTTTGAAGCCCTAGGGATCATCTCATCAGGGCTTGTCCTGGTATAGTTTTAGGGTTACTAAAGTCATCCTGTTTCAGAGATTTAATTTTATGATCTCAATTGAAATACTGCATATAGGAGAGGATTTTTCAATTTTGCTGTGTCAGGATTTGTTAGCCTTTTCTGTGTCAAATGTCAGATACTTGTTCAGCATATGGGAATGGCCATGACTAGATTGTACCCTGGTGTTTGGGAAGATCAGTATTTCACAAACTTGTACCTACTTAGTGGACAATGCAAGCTGGGAATGTTCCACTCTAACTATAAAATGACTAATTCTACCCAGAATCCGTGTATTAACTTTTGTCCCAGTCCACCTTCGCAAACACCTGAAGAGGTCACAAAAATGGAAATTCCTTAGTTTGGGTTTTCTTTTGATGAAACAGGGATGTTTTGGTTATTCAGCCATCCCACAAAAGCCATCAACATATCTTACCTTTCTTGGAAGTAACTTTTCAGACCTTGGTGCACACAGGTGCAGATTCTGTGATTTCTGGAGTGTCTTCTTGAACTGGAGGCTGTTTTTTTAACCTCAAAGAGAATCCTTTGAAGACTGGGCAAATGGGAATGTATTTCAGAAAGGCAATCTTTTTTATCTTGTCCATCCCAATAGGGAAGTCATAACTCTTCAAGCTGGCAGATGTCTCACTGTTGGCATGGGCCCCAGCTTTCCACTGAACAAGGCCTCGTTCTTCGGGGCTCCCTGGAGGAAGACAATGGGGCCATTTAACAAGGCCCTCAAGACCTCCTACCTCCCTTCCTGTAACCTGGTCCTAAGATAGGCTTTTGTAATTTAAAAAATTTTTTTCTGTAATGCTGAAGGTTGAACCTGGGACTGTACACATCCTGGGCTTGTGCTGTACCACTGAACTGAACACATAACCTTAAAGTGTCTGAGCTGGGTGTGGTGGTGCATGCTTGTAATCTTAGGACTCTGGGAAGCTGAGGCAGGAGAATTGCAAGTTTTAATTAAGACTGGGCGACTTGAAAAGACCCTGTCTCAAAAAGGGGTGGAAATGTAGCTTAATGTAAGGCCCAAGTTCAGTCTTCAGGTGGTGGGGGTGGGGGTTGTTTTTTTTTTAATTTTTCTTCACATTAACAGCTGAAGAAAGCAGTGCTGTTCCAGTTAAGGACTGGGTTCTGTGCCAGCCAATCTAGGTTTGAGTGCAGGTTGTCTGACCTCAGGCAAGTAACTTGACCATTCTGAGTTTTGTATTCCTCATCAAAGCAGATTAAAGGGCCATTGAAGATTATGTGGTGTAACAGATGACTGCTGAATCTCAGTTGGGTTGAAGGTTAGTGACATGAAGAACTTAGGTAGTTTGAGGTGATTGTGCAGCTGCCCAATCAGAGGCCCTTCATCTCCCTAGATTTTCTAGACATCAAAGTTGCCATTTCACTGTCTCAGAACCACAACCTGGGCTGTTCCAGCGCCAGCCTGGTGGCCTCTCATTTGTAAGGGTAAGTGCCATGGATGAGTTGCTACCCATCTCTCCAAGAGACAGCTACTGCCAAGACTCGCTCATCTTATCAGGCATAGTGACATATACCTGTAATCCCAGTCCTCTGAGAGTCTGACACAGGATCATAAGTTTGAGCCCAGTCTGGGAAATTTAGTGACTTGGCAAGACTGATATAGGACTCATTCTATTCTCAGTTCCTCAAAAAGAAAAACAGCCTGGCATGGTGGCATATGCCTGTAATCCCAGCACTCAGGAGGCTGAGACAGTAAGGTCATTGAGTTCAAGGCCAGCCTGTACTACATGGAGAAACCCTGTCTCAAGAAAAAAGCAGGTAGGGCCAGGGCTTTAGCTCAGTGGCACTATGCCTGCTATGCAAGCACAAGGTCCTGAGTTTGATCCCTGGTACCAGAAAAAAAATAAAACATCTGATTCTGCCTAGAATCTCCCCAGGAACCTTGGGTCCTGTCCACCAGCTGACATCTGAACACAGGCCCTGACTGCTTAGCTCTGCCAGCTTCAGCCCTTAGGAAGGAAGGCAGGAGCTGTGCTTTTTTTCCAGCTGGTAAGCAGCTGGGGATGGAGGGCTAACAACTTGGTATTCTTTTCCCCTCTGTCCCTATGCTGATACAGTCCTTAACTCATCTTCATGAAATTTTACCAGCCTCCAGCCAAGATCCCCTGGAACCCTCCAGCAGAGATGGTGTGGTACTGTGGCTGGGACATAGCCATGGACACAGCAGACCTTAACATTAAGATTTGTGCTGTCCAGTTTTGAGACTGACTCTGATCATAATTTTTTTTTTTTTTTTTTTTCTGGGGATTGAACTCTGGACTTTGTGCTTGCAAGGCAGGTGACCACCACTGAGCTAAATCCCCGGCCTTGTCATAGCTTTTAAGGCTAAAATGAGATACTTAGTTCCATGTCTGACTCATAAATCTTTAATAAATGTTAACTGTGCTTATCAGAGTGCCTGATGGCATTCAGTTTTATATACATTGCCTGGGTGCACAGATCCTGTACAGTCCCTACAAAACACTCACTACCAAAGGTACATGTTGAGGTTCTTCAGTTAGCAAGCATACATCTGCTAACATATTTGGAGTGGATTTTACCAACAAATTGATGTGTTTATATCTGACTATTCCATGAAAGCAGAGGTACCTCTCAACCCAGTGGCTATAAAAAATTGTGAGGTAAGGGAGGCAGGCATGATGGCTGCACATATGTAATTCTAGCTGAGGCAGAAGGACCACAAGTTCAAGGCCAGCCTGAAAAACTTAGTAAAACTATCTCAAAGGTTAAGGATGTAGCTTAGTGGTGGAACACTTGCCTAGTGTGCTTGAGGCCCTGGAGACAGACAGATACACACACATATACACACAGAAAAGGAAAAGACTTCCTTTTCCTTCCTTTTTTTTTTTTTTGGTTTTTGTTTTTGATACCAGGGATCAAACTTAAGACCTTGCACTTGCAAGGCAGGCACAGTGCCACTGAGCTAAATCCCCGGCACAAGGAGTCTTCCTTTGACAGGACTCAAAAATAACTCCTGCCCTCACCCGCTGCAAGACCTACAGACATGTCTGTGCCTGTCTTTTCCGCTAACCAGCAGGCATGCCCAGCAGACCATCTGCTCCTACAGCGCCCACCTGGCCTCAGATCTGGCCACATCTCCAGCTCAGTGGCCATCTGGTGGACTGTATATGAGTCAAGTCTTGTTCTGCATTTCCCTTGTAAGGCTGACACATACCTGGCACTGTGTTGTCCAATATGAAAGCAAGGCAACCACCCACAAACATCTCTGTGGTCAGCAACACAGTCAGAATCTGGTCCACTTCAGGAATACCTGTGAAACAGGCCAAGGGGCAGTGTCGTGGCACTCTGGTGAGCAGAACTCCAGGACTTACCACCTGTGCAGACTACTGACTTCCTTGAGCAGTCATGGCCAGGGGACTGTACAAAGCCCTGACTTGTAAGTTTATCTTTACCCCTCTCTACCCCATCTGGGTTCAAATCCCAGTTCTTTCAGTGGCTAGTTGTTGATTTGAGACAAATCATTGAATCATGATAAGTGGAGATGATAATAGTATAAGTCTCATGGAGCTTTTTTATGTAAATAAATGCTTAATACCTGTCCACAGAAAGTGTTTTAGTAAAAGGCACCTACTAATTAGCCTCTCCGATACTAATGTCAAGAGTTTGGAAACATTAGTGGCTCTATCCATGTGAAGCTTTGGAGGGAATGGCTGTGCTAAATTTTGTTTTCGAAGAGCTGGGGATCTAACCAAAGACCTTGTGAATGCTAAGCAAGCGCTTTACCACTGAACTACACAAACCTAGCGCGTTGTTTTGGGTCCACCCCACCCCAACAGTTGCTGAGTAGACAGCCAGGAAGCACCTGTGTTGATGGCGCCAGGGTTGGAATCCAGGTAATTAGGCAACGTGAGCCCGAAGAACATGGGAAATCCCAGCACAAAAAGGTTACGGGAGGAGTTCATGTCCACGAACTGCAGGTTGGACAACCCCACAGCCGTAATCATGCCTGCAGGGGCAGAAAAACAGAGGACTCGGGGCTGAGTCCCACCACTCGGCGACCCGTGCCGCACCCAGGCCCGCGCCAGGCACTCACCGAAGAGGGTGCAGAACATACCCCCCAGAATGGGGTCGGGGAGCGAGGCGAACAGAGCGGTAAATTTGCCAACTGTGCCCAGGACCAGCATGATACCCGCACCGTACTGCACCACGCGGCGACTGCCCACCTGCCAGGAAGCCAGGGCCGGGGCGGGTTAGCGCAGGAATAAGGTCTAAGCGGGCGGGGCTTTAGTTGGGGGCGTTGTCAGGTTAGGGTGGGGACGGGCTTGGGGCGGGGCCAGTGCTGGACGGAACCAAGTCGGAATTTTTGTGCTCCCCTGGCTGGTGGCACCTTGGTAATCCCTAGGACGCCAATATTTGGACTTGACGAGGTGGACCCGTTGCCCGTGCCCAGCAGTCCCGCGATAATGCAGCAGATGCCTTCGGTGAAGATGCCCCTGTAAATGAAAGGAAGGACCAGTCGGGGCTTGCTCCCCTCACCGGCTGTGTGTACTCACCCTTCACAGTTCTGCCCGTCTAGAGCGGTGCGAGCTGTCACTGTGGGTGTGAAGTACTCCCCCTCCTGGCCACAAGGAGGTCTGGAAGCCAAGATCCCCAGGCCCTGGTTTACGCTCCTGGGCAATTGGACTTTAAATCAGTGTCTTCATCTGTGCAGTGGAGACACAGGGGAGAGGGGCCTGTCTCGTGGCTACCGGATTGCCTGAGAGAAGGCACGTGAAGAGCGGGGCACGTGGAAGGTTGTCAGTGACTGATTTCCCCGCCCTTGTTACCTCCTCAGCTACTCCCAAAACTCGGAGTGAGTGATGAGAGGCCTCTTCACATTACCAAGGAAAATTAGATCTGGCAATGTGAATGACTTGCCCACCCATGTCTGCACCTCTTGGGGCTCAACCCCACCCTGGTGCGCTTCCCGAGCGGCCCCTCTGGGGGCGGAGGTTGAGGTGGGCAACATACCTATTGATAGCATGGACTGGAGGGGGCGGGGCACCCGCCAGGCGGGCGCAAGCATAGTAATCACCGATGGACTCGATGATGCCTGCCAGTGTGGCACTGAACATTCCCAGGACAGCAGCCACTGTCACTGTGGGCAAGCCCCACTGACCTGGAGGTGAGGCAACAGGACAGATCCAGTGAGAAGGCTGTGGTGGATTGAGAATGGGTAGGGCAATTTATTTTTCATTTATTTATTTATACCAGGGATCAAACTAGGGTCCTTGGGCTTTCGGGGCGGGTGGCAGAACCACTGATCTAAATCCCCAGCTGATAGGGCAATTCTTGAGGAAGAGAGAAAGTGGGGAAGAGATCGCAAACTGGGATGGGGGCCATGCAATTATGGGAGCTTATTTGGGTTATTCGGAGGCATGGAGCTGAGTGAGGCTTTGTCTGAGATAACACTACTCTTCTTGGCGAACTATAAATCTGTGGCTAACCTGGACATGGGCACAGTGGTACGTGACTATAATTCCAGCACTCTGAGAGGCTCAGGAGGATCACGAGTTTCAGCCCAGCCTGAGCAGCTAAGTGACTTAGTGAGACTGTCTCAAAATAAAAAAATAGCTCCGTGCAAAGACCTTAGGTTCTATCTCCGGTACCAGGGAGGAAAAAAAAAAGAATGAAGAAACCCTGTAGTCAGTGCTAATTGTATCGTCAGATGAATTGGGGTCACCAGGGATCTCACAAGTGTCTCAGTCAGGGGCGCAGAGGCCCAAGCTTGGGAACTTACAGGGATAGGGGATACGGATCCAGGGCGAAATAGCCATGATATCCCCACGGGCATCAGTTCGTGCCTGGAAGCCATAAGCTGCTGGATCTGAGGGCAGCACATCTGTCAGTGTCAGCACATAGCAGAGGAGCCACACGGTCATAATGGCCAGCACAATCTGAAGTAGGATGGGTCAAGGGGTAGCTATGGGCGCTGCAGGTCTCCGTCCAGACTAATCCACTCCTACCTCAGCCCAGATCCAGCCCCAGCCTTAGCCCCTGCTGTAGTTCCAGCTCCAGCCCCAATACGTGCCCCAAACTCTGGCTAGGACATTTCTGCTCTGGCTCCCATGCTATCTCTGCCTTTGCCCTCCCCTTGGCCCTGGACATAGGTCTAATTCCTCACCTAGGCCCAGTCCTAGTCCCAGCCCCAGCCACCTGTCAGCTCCTCACAGGAAACATCTTGAAGATCTGGATTCGGAAGAGAGTGAGGCCCTTGCTCCAGCGGTAGACAGGCAGCAGGAAGGTGACATTACGCAGATACTGGGAGAACAGGACGATCAGGAGAATGGAGCTGGAGGCAGAGGCACAAGGAGGAGGTGGCTGGTCGCCCAGGCTGAGGATAGGAGCCAGGACTAAAGAACACGAAAGAGAGAGGAGGCAGGGGCTGGGGCTGGGAAGGAATCAGGCCTGGTGCCTGCTCACCAAGCTGAGATGCCCCAGTGGGAGCCAGCCCGGTCACCGGCAGCTTGGAAGACGGAGAGGCCAATGAGGGAGATGGTGGGGGTGACCGTGAGGGGCCCAATGTAGCTGAGGAGGGCCCCAGGCAGCCCCATCAGCCCAATCACCACTTCCACTATGCTGGACACCATGACTGCACCCTGGATCTAGAAGGGCAAAGACAGCTGTAAGTCACAATATAAAGACTGACCTGGCCACTAGCAATTCTTAGACCACCTCCTCAAGTGCCTCCTTATTCCCATCTCTCGCCCTCTTTGGGTCTGGGCCTTCTACTCACCTCTCGCATACGTGGGTGCCAGATATGAGACGTGTTCAGAGGCAGACTCCAGTTACCGTAGATCTCCTCTGGGGCAGAAAGGGACACACAGATGGAGACAGGAAAGGAGAGAATTCAGGACATCTGCCCAAACCTACAGGCCCCTGGGCCCCTCTCTCTTCCAGCCCCAGAGCCCCGAAGTGGGCACACCTTCTGGCGGGCATTTCCACTTCTCCAGGGCCAGGATGGCTTTGGCTGGAACCAGAAATGCAAAGGCACTGGCCTGGAACAGGGGCAGCCTAGAGGAGAGGGGTAGGGTGGGTAGAAGAGGAGGATTAGAGAGAGATCAGTAAGTAGGTCTCTGCGCTTTCACGGCAGCAGGTGGCACCACTGAGCTAAATCTCCAGCCCCTATGCTCTTTTTTATTTATTTATTTATTTATTTTTTTGGTACTGGGGATAGAATTCAGGTCCCTGAACTTGCAAGGCAGACAGCGGAACCACTGAGCTAAATTTCCGGCCCGTAGGCTCTTTTTTAAAAAATTAATTTTGGGGCCAGGGATTTAGCTCAGTGGCACCATGCCTGCCTTGGAACCTCAAACAAGGTCTTGAGTTTGGTCCCCGGTACCAAAAAAAAAAAAAAAAAAAATTAATTAATTTTTAAATTATTTCCTGGTACCAAAAATTTTAATTTTATTGGTAATCTTTTGATGTACATCATGATCATATTCATGGTAGAGAATTTGCACTCGTACATAATATATCTTGATTCTTCATTTTTTTCCCCATTCCCGTCTTCATTTTGTTTTTTAGTTTTTTGTTTGTTTGTTTTGGTACCGGGGATCAAACTCTGGACCTTGCAAGCAGCAGAACCACTGAGCTAAATCCCTGGCCTACCCTCCCTTCATTTTAATGGTTTTTTCCTCCATTTTTTAAAAATCAGGGTCTCACTGTGTAGTTCAGGGTGGTCTTGAATTAACTCTTTGTAGCCCAGGGTAGCCTGGAACTCATGGCAATCCTCCTGCCTCAGCCTCCCAAGTGCTGGGATTATAGGTATGTACCGCCACCTCTAGCTTCTGCTCCTTATTTACAAAAGCTTTGTTTCCATTTTTTTCCTTCTATTCTCTCTTTTTTCCCTTTCCCCTTCTTTACTTTTCCCCTCCTTTGTTGTTTTTGCTTGTTTGTTTGTTTTTTGGGGTTTTTTGTTTGTTGTTTGTTTTTTGAGACAGAGTCTCACTGTATAGTTGAGACTGACCTGGAACTCACTATGTAGCCCAGGCTGGTTTTGAACTCACAGCCATCCTCCTGCCTCAGCCTCCCAAATGCTGGGATTAAAGGTGTGCGCCACCACGCCCAGCTCCTCCTTTGTTTTTTTGAACATTTTCTTCCTACTTCTCAATATCTGTTATCCATTTTGGTCCTTATTTATCCTTTCAGTTTCTCACACAAGAGAAACAATGTAATATTTAAATAAGGTGTCAGAATTATTTCACTTAAAAGTATGTTCTCAAAATGCTTCCGTTTATCTAAGAATGTCTCAAGCTTATCCTTCTTTATGGCAGACTAATATTCCATTGTTCATAAAAATCACATTTTCTTCATCTCGTGAGCTCTAATGTGATTTTCTTGCCTGAGCCTCCCAAAGTGCTGGGATTACAAGTGTGTGCCTAATCAGGTTTGGGGTTTTTTTGTTTTTGTTTTTGTCATATAAAAGCCCTCTGAGCAAAACCACCTGTTCCTGCCGTTACTGTGTGGATTACAGTGTATATGAGTGTGTGTGTGTGTGTGTGTGTGTGCGCACGTGCGCACATCTGTACACATACATGTGCTCATGAATGGGGGCGAGGCAGCTCACCGGATGCCCAGTGTGGTCTGGATGAGAGTGGTGATGCCCACACACGTGAAGATGGTGCCGATGAGTTGACTGACCATGTACTGGTCATGGCCCACACACAGCGCCTCAGCCAGGAGGAAGGGCACAGCGATGGTGCCACTGAAGCAAGTCAGGTAATGCTGAGGGAGACGAGAGGAGAATGTCTGAGACAGGACCCACAGAGCTCAGGGGGAAACAGGGGCACCCAAGGCCCTCATCCTGCCTCAGGGGCCTGGACCTCCCTGTGAGGATTCCCAGAGGGCCACTGCTCACCACTCTGGGGGGACACTAACCTCCTCAAAGTTGTCCTGGCTCTCCTCCCAGTCCCCTACGTAGTCCTCCATCAGGCCCCACCGGCCTCTTCCCGAACTCTGATTAAACAGTCACTGCACAGATCTAGGGCTTCTCTTCCTTTTTGCTGAGGGAAGGGGTGGCATCCCTGGGGAGAGCCGGGGTGGGGCTCTGGGGATGGCCTACCTGGAAGCCCAGCAGGATGCACAGGTACCAGGGTGGCACATCTTCAATCTTGTACAACATGTCCGGTTTCGGCTCTGTGGGCAGGGACATCTGCGGGTCCCTGGTGGAACCTCCCATGGAGCCCTGGGCACCCTGGTGGGGCACAGAGAGAAGCCACTCAGGGTGGAGCACTGGGACAGGCATCACTGTCCCACAATCAGGCGGCCTGAGTAGCACCTCAGAGCGAGAGCCACGTGGGTCCCCACCCTCCCTCACTGTCCATCCACCTAGTTGTCACTGGGCTGTCACTTGGCTGGAGGCAGCACCTGGCCCCCACTTCACTTTGTTTCCTGCAGGGTGAAAACACCGGGAGCCCTCAGCCCTGGGCTTCAAGGAATGGGCCTGAGTCAGAAGACCTCAGAGACCCCGGGGGAGATAAGAGGGCTCCAGACGGCTGATAAACCCAATCTGTCCCACTAGCTGCCCCCTAGAGGTCCTTGGGGTGTCACTGGGAAGGAGGCTGAGCCCCTACCGCCCCAAGTTCAAGTAAGCCAGTCCCAAAGTTAAAGGCTCCCTCACCTTCATCTCTGCCCGAGTCCCCATTTGCCAGGTTCACTTTAGGACTGTCGTTTGGAACTGACTCATCAGGACTCATCTCTGCCCCTAAGAGAAGCTGCCCAGTCCCTCTAGCCCCCCTATCTGCTACCCTTCCCTCTCCCTCCAGTCCCCCCAGCACCTGTGTCTGGTCCTCAGAGTCTTCCTGAGCCCTCATCTTTGGGGCACAAGTCTGAGAAGCTCCTGAGAAGAGAGGATGACTTTACAAAGGCCAAGGAGGACTTTACTCCACACATCAGACATTGTTCAAAGTAAATCTGTAACTAGGCCCCAGGCTCCGGATTGCGAAAGGGGGACCTGGGCAGAGGTGAGGCATTAACTCTGGCTGATGTGGTAAAGGCCACTCAAGCCTCTGCCACGTTTACTTCCTGTACTCCCTTCACTGCCCGCACACCAACCTGGAACGAGACTTGTTCTTGCTTTCTCAGAGAGAGAGAGTGAAGGATGAAGGGACAGTCTTGGAATTTTAGCCAGCCCTGAGCAAGTTGAGAGGAAAGAGAGTTGTAAATGCGCACTTATTATGTCACTGTCCCCAGAAGGCCCTTCCCTGCATATTAATAACAGGTTAGTCCCTTATCACGGTCACAAAAGCCATTCTCCTTACTGAGGAATGATACCATGCCAGGCCACCGTACATTTGTATGTGCACTATCATGCGGAACCTGATTGGTGCTGGGTGATATCAACCCTTTTAATTACAGCCGAGGAAAGACTTAGGAGCATGATTTGACTGAGGCCATGCAGGTAGCGAGGGTTTGGAAAATCAATCCGAAAGTTCAGGCTGCCCTCTTCCCACCGCTGTTCACTGCTTACATCCCTAAGTGACGGGGTGGCCTCACAGCCTTCACTCACTGTGTGTCAGGACAGGGATTCCTTTCCCCTTCCAGCCCAGAGCCAATGTATAGTTTGCAGGACTCAGTTAAATGAGAATGGGGCCCTTGTTCCAAAAGTATTTTGAATTTTTAAAATAGGGACAGCAGCTGGGTGTGGTGGTATAAACCTGTAATTTCAGCACTCAGGAGGCTGAGGCAACAGGATTGCTATGAGTTCAAAGCTAGTCTGGGCTACATAGTGAGTTCAAGGCCACCTTAAACTATATAGTGAGACCCTGTCACACACACACACACACACACACACACACACACACACACACACACACAAAGATAGCAACAGCAGAGCTTTAAACTCAGTATGGGGCCTTTCTAAGCACCACTCTCTGTGTGCTTGCATGTCACACAGCCCAGGTAAGCCATTCTGTGCCTGTCCTGTCTCCCCTCCCAGCATGCCTAGTCCTTGGCTTGGCCTTGAGGGGAGGTAGGGGTGCAGAGACCTGAGAAGGCTCCTCAGCTTGTGAAGGCAAGGCCTGGGATCCCCATCTGCTCCTCTCTGGGCTGCACCAGCCCTGCCAACCCAGGGCCCACTTACTTCTGGGGTGCTGAGCCCATGGCCAGGCCCAGCTGAGGGTCCATAAGCAGCACCGCTCCCTAGATGGACAGCAGCTTCGTGGTGCAGCCCTGAATCCTGCTGGCTGTTTGGCCTGCAGCCTGTTTGTCCATCTGTCCACTCCTTTTCTTCTTGGCTTTTGTTTTCAGGTTCCCAAGTTACACAACTAGTTCAGAGCCTCTGAAACTCCTTAGCGCTCGGTTCCCCACGGGCCACGCCCAGGACTCCACAGAGGTCTGTGGAGCTGCCCCACCCCCACAGACACAGCTCCATGGATACCGAATTCAACCCAAACCTCACCACGATGCCTGATGAATCTGGGAAGGTGCGGGCATCCAGATGCAGAGTAGTACAAACGGACCACAGCGCTCAGGCTCTGATGCAGCCTCTAAATTGCTGCACACAAACTCAGGGTCATGCAGGTCCCTGTCACAGGTGTCCGCCCAGATCCACACCTCATACTCCTGAAGGCTCAGCCGGTTCTTTGGGCCCTGGCCTTCCTGGTCTGGAGGCTGCTTTCCTGGGGTGAGGCTGAGGGAAGGAGGGGCACCGGGCAGACTCTGGAGCAGGCGATGGGATGTGGGGGGACTGCTGGGACATCCCGGTGCCTGCAGCAGCCACACTGGCCCCACCTCCAAAATCTGAATGCTTCCCAGCCCTGCCACTCCTCAGCCTAAAACTTGACCTGAGGCCTTTTATTGTCTAAGCTGTGTTTGTTTGTTTGTTTCTCTTTCTTTCTTTCTTTCTTTCTTTTCCTTCCTTCCTTCCTTCCTTCCTTCCTTCCTTTCCTTCCTTCCTTCCTTTCTTTCCTTCTTTCTTTGGTACCAGGGACCTTGTGCTTGCAAGGCAGGCAGCAGAACCACTCAGTCAAACCCCTGGCTCTAAGCCTGGATTTCTGCATCTGTCAAATCAGTATTAGTGTCCTATCCACCTCTCAGGGTGTTGCTGGAATTTTGGGGCAAAAGCCCCAGCTCCCAGGGTCAGTGTCGGTCAAGGAGATAAGCAGTGGAAGGCAAAAAGACGCTCTCTTTAGCACGGCTGGAAGGAGAGATAAAGAAGTTCAAAATCTGGCTTCAAGGGGCAAATGGAGGCTTTGGGGGTTTATAGAAAAAGAGTACAAAGGTAAAAGTTAGGGGTTTTCATAGACAGAAGTGTAGGTAATCTTGTCAAGTTGAAATAGGGGAAAATATAATTCTTAACCTGCTAGAGGTCAGTTATGTCAAGTTTGTGTCTCTTGAAATCAAAGAATAAATTTTAAGAAATAACAGGTTAAGGGCTGGAGATTTTTAGCTCAGTGGTTCCACCGCCTGCCTTGCAAGCGCAAGGACCTAAGTTCGATCCCAGGTACCAAAAAAAAAAAAAAAAAGAAAAAAGAAAAAGAAATAACAGGTTAAGAGTAGAAAAATTTATTGAAAGATAGCTCCTGAGAGACAAGAAGGGACCCAAAAGTGGTTTGCCACCGAGGCTACTTTTCTATGAATTTTTTTTTTTTTTTTGTACTGGGGAATGAACTCAGGACCTTGCGCTTGCAAGACAGATGGCAGAACTATTGAGCTAAATCCCCAGCCCCTTCTATGAATTTTATGAAGTAAAATCATGAAGTGGGTATAAAATCACGAGGTGAGTACAATGTGGGTCAAACTATAATCAACCAATAAGATTATAAGTACAGCCGTTTAGGTAATGTTGATCCAATAGAGGAGCGAGTCACGTAGCAAGTAAAGAACAAAGACATTTTTGGGAAGGGATGGGTCTGTATGCTTTGGTCACCCACCTGGGTGACTGATGTCTATCTGAACTTTATTGAACCGAGTGATACCAATGATAGTATAATTCCAAGTTATTATTTATCCCTCAGGGGAAGCATGTAGGCCTGGTCCTTGCTTTTTTTTGGTACTGGGGATCAAACTTGGGCTTGTGAGGCAGGCAGCAGAACACTGAGCTAAATCCCCGGCCCTTTTTGCACTTGCGAGCCAGGTGTGGTGGCGCATGCCTGTAATCCCAGCACTTGGGAGGCTGAGGCAGGAGGATCACGGTGAGTTCAAGACCAGCCTGGGCTGCATAGTGAGTTCCAGGTCAGTCTCAACTACATAGTGAGACCCTGTCTCAAAAAAACAAAACAAAAAGAATGAGACCAAAAGGACTTTGCACTTGCAAAGGCAGGCATGGTGCCTACTGAGCCAAATACCTGGCCCACCTTCCATCTTTATCTTAAATCCTGATCTTTTTTAGATGCTCCTCCAGTGACATTTTTTTTTTTTGCTGACTTCCTTGATATTCCAGTATCTCTCCGACTGTATATTAATTTTTATCTACCTTAGCTATCTATAATAAAGTCAGGGCCTGGTTGATTAGTATCTTGGGACTGGTTTTATGAGGTCCTGGGAGGGCCATCATTCCTTGAGGGAGTTCCTGTGATGAGATTGGTTCCTATGATGAGATTCAGGCTCCTGCTTTGAGGGGAGGACTCAGTTCCCGGCAGGATCATTGCTTCCATTGTGTAAGGACTGACCTCAAGACTCTGGAATCTGAGGTGACTGCAGGCTCAAAACAATGACTTGAGAAATCTAGGCATTGATTCAAGGGGTTTGGAACTAGGTGTTGTAAAAGCTGGCAATCAGGTGTCCTTGAAAATCTTGAAAATTTTGCTCTTATCTTGGTGTCCTCAATTGTGGGAGCCTGGCTGAACCAGAGCAACTCCATGTTGACCAGCGAATGACCTGGAGACTGTCGCTCCCCCCATCCCTTATGGAATAACTAGTGATTAATTGTGAATTGTTGGGTGGCTGCTTTGAAGTAGCTGGGAGGCTAGATAGAAACTGTAGTGAACACAGAGACCCAAGGCAGGTCATGCCACTCCTTGCATGCCTGTAGTCTGAATGTTCTGAACTTTATGATGATCTAGGTTGTAAATGGAACAATGGATAATCACTCTGCTGATCATTAGTACATGACGACCACTAGCTCAGATCAACTGACTCTTTGCCTTTGTCCTCTTCCTGTAAGTTTTAAGTGTAAACCCCCCTTCAGCCCTATATAAAATGGCCTCTGTTTCTGAGCTGGCCGCCTCTCTGAGCTACTTGGCTTGGGGAGTGCCATCTGGCCAGACTAATAAAGGTCTATTTGCCAACTTGCCTGGTGTGTTCCTTCCTGGGTGACTCTCGCTGTGTGACTAGCTCCTGGAGCCTCGCTGAGCTTCTGAGCCCAGCATCGTGGAAGCCTCTTGGCTGTTCACTCTCCAGGAGTAAAAGTGAGACTCACGTCTTACACAATCTCAAAGGGGGATGAAATAGGCTATGGAAATTTAATAATAAACCTTGTAACACAGACACACCCTGAGTGACTAGTATGCCTGCATGCAGATCTGAGCAGAGATATGTCCCAGAGTTGTAAGGTAATAAGGGAACAGGGAATGGTGATCCACACCTGTAATCACTCAGGAGGATGAGGCAGGAGGATCACTCTGAGTTCAAGGCCAACCTGGGCTATGGTGAGACTCTGTCTCAAAGAAACCAAAGCAAACAAACTTGGCATCTCTGTCTTCACTCTGTTCCCTTATTACTCCCCCTGTCCCCATGACAAGGGCATGAGAGGGTCAGAGACACTCAGGAAGGACACTACAGGTTTAATACCACCCAGACCATGGTTCCCAGATCACGTGGGGCCCAGGGTTCCTTTCCTAAGGGCCAGGTCCCTGGCCAGAAGAATTTTAGGAAAGAGCATAAGTAGTGCCAAGAGGCTGGTTGGGCTGGTTCTAGGAACCCTGCCCTGTCTCAGGTGGACACCCAGTGCCCAACTGTAAGAGCAGGGGTCAGAGTCAGTGCAGACAGAGAAGGAACTATTCTGGGAGTGGCCGAGATAGCTCTGAGTAAGTAGATACCTAAGAATGGCCACAAGGTGGCTGCCTGAAATTTTCTTTCCTTCTCGGTGAGTCTGAGGACCTGGGCTGTCCCCAGGCTTATAAACTACTTTCATTTGCCCTTCAGGGCCCCCACACATTTCCATGCTCTCTTACATCTGGGGAGTTGTCAAAATGTATATTGGGCCCTCTCTAGGAGGACATTATCAGAAACACCAATATTGGTACTCCCAGCCCCTCAGACAGTATTTGCAAAGAGAAGTCAAGGTCACCAGATTTTATTTGAATCCAGAGAGTAAAGTCTTGTCCCTCCCAGGCCCCAGTGCCCTGTGACAAAGGAAGGGTGAAGGTGGCAGCTTTGAGCCAGGCCTCCCTTCTTCCTCTCCAGCTGCCACCAAAAGGAGTGGGGAAGATTCCGAGGAGGGCCAGCTTTTCTTCAGGAGCAGGAGGAGTTGTGGACTAGAGCTCTTCTCTCGCGACAGCTGCCTCTGCCGAGCAAGAGCCCTGGGTACCACCACCACATAGCAATGCCTCCACAGCCTCTGGGCCTTCTTGGTGGGCTTTATAGATGTCATCTTCCCCAAAGTCCCCCAGGTACTGGAAGCACATTCTGGAGAGCCTAAGGGAGATCAGCAGGAGCCTCAGACTGCCCCACCCACAGGAAAGGCCGAGGCAAACCAAGGGCTCAGTCCCAGCCGCCACTTCCTCATTACCTGCTGGGCCAGGGGCCTCCTGTGACCATCACACTGATGATTGGCTCTGGCCCCTTACTAAGTCCTGGGCCTGTGAGTCGTTTCATTTGGTTTACTTCTCGGACCCCATAGCTGGTGGCAGTGGGAAGGAAGGGGTATAGCGTTGCTGGTATTCTAGCCACAAAGACCGGTTTCCATACCCTGGGCATTTGCTGAGCTCAGAGAGGGAAAGCCCCTGGCCCAGCTTCCACAGTGACCTTTCTGCTGGCCATCAGCATCCCCACTCGCTCCCAGTTCCTGAGTCTGGACTTCATCCTGGCCGGGGACCCCTCAGGCCAGAGCCCCCATAGAATGTAGGTATGTGGTGAATGGGAGGGTGGGGATTGTACCCACCAGCCCTGCCCCTGCAGGAAGGAAGCAGGGGCCACATTGACAACTCACTCCTGCCAGTTCTGGGAGCAGCTACGGTCCAGGACATCTGTGTATTCTGACTCTCGGAGCTCCTGCCTTCCCGTGGAGTCTGGGGTATGAAGCTTGGCCTCTGCCTTCACCAAATGTTGCCACATCTGGAACAAGGAGAGGCTGAGGTTTGGTGGGAGGGGAAGAGAAGGAGAGCTCAAGTCTCTGGGGGAAAATGAAGTGGGTAAGGGAGCTGTTGTGCAGCACCTGTGAGAGGCTGCAGAATCCTCTCTCCCAGGTCCCCAAAGCTGGGACAGGGCCAATGGATGCAGGATCCGTTTCCCTGAGTTAGGGAGGAAATTGTTGAGGTGGGAGGTTAGGCCTGGGCAAGGGGTCCCTCCTAGGGCTCACTTGCCCTGTAGCATATGCTATTTTAAAACACAAGAAAAACGAAAGCAAAAAAACCCCAACAAAATAAAACAAAGACAGCCCAATCTTCAGTGACACATATACTCACAGGCCTCATGCACACACAGACACAGGCATGATCACCAGAGGCAAGTGTGCACCGAGACACGTGTTACTCATACACGTATGTGCTATGTACACAAGTATGAAGGCACCCGAGGAAGTCAGCATCAAAGTAGGAAGGGAGGAGTCTTTTTTTTTTTTAATAGTTCAGGCTGGCCTTGAATTATTTAGTTCAGGCTGGCCTCAAACTCAGCAATCCTCCTGCCTCAGTCTCCCAAGTGCTGGGATTACAGGCGTGCGCCACCACACCTGGCTGGAGGAGTCTAAAAGAGGTCAAGTGAGTGATTTCCTGGTGTGTCAAGGTACTGTGGTAACCCCCGTCAGTCATCTGTCTCTGTTAGGCGGGCGGATGAGCTAGGCAATGCAAAAGCTAAGACATAGCAGTTGGGGCTGGTGGCGTTATTATGGTCCTCTGAGTCTGGGGCTCAATTCTGTATTGGGATCGAGGATCAAAGACCAGTGGTGGAATGCAAGGCAGAGAAAGGGTCTGTTTTAGGTAGAGTCTGGCAGGGGCCAGGGAACTCCTGAGGGAAGGACTCACCTGGTAGGCCACAGCCCTGCAGGCGTCGCAGCGCAGGTGAGCAGGCACGTGGGCCGAGTACTTCTCCTCCTCATCCAGATTTGGAGCAGCGGCGGAGAGGAAGGCCCTGTCCCCGAGTGCCCCTGGGACAGTCCAGGCTCCCAAAAGCAGCAACAGTGACAGCCTCATGGCCTCTGAAACTAGCTCAGTGAGCATGGGCTGTACATGTGTGTGCGCGTTCCTGTGTTGTGGGGCCACCCCTAGCCCAGACCAATGGGGAACTGACACCTTCCCCCTCCTCCAGGGCCGGGGAGATGCCACGTGTGCTCTTTCTCTAGCAAGACCGGCTTCAGCCACCTCAGCTCCATTTTGCAGGCAGGGAACGATGAGGGCTGTGCCTGAGCAAGGACACAGGGGGCTGGCAGCTCCCACATGCTGTGCTCTGACCAAGTGGCGAATGCTATGCTGAGCACCCTGTGGGAGAAGGTGGTTGGGTTCTATCATTATTCTGCCCAGGAGGACATGAAGACTCAGAAATGACAAATGCCCCTGCTAGAGGACCCATGCTGAGACTGAAACCCAAGGTTGATTGACCCTCAAAAGCCACTGGCCACTCAGCCACCAGGAGGAACTTGGCCTCAGATGTGGCTGTCAGTCTAGGGCAACTTCCCTGGGAGGCAAGTAGGACACAGTGTGGAAAGCACACATGGACTGCTTCCTGGGCACGAGGGCCTCCTCCACCCAGGCCATAGCCAGGCATGGGAGGGCACCCGGGAGGGTCTTACGTGGGCACAGGAGGAAATTAGGCACATTACACCAGTCATCATTTCAGCCACCACAGCTCATAGCCATTTATTGCATACCAGGATGAAGTGAGGGTGGCTCTGGGACCCTCCTTGCCAAGGGACCAGTGTCTCTGCCAAGAGATATCCAACTTATTCTGAGTCACAATGCTCCTCTTCGGCTTTCAGTCCAGGGAACAGGGACTCCAAGGGACCCAGGCCCCCCCTGGCCTGGAACAAGAAAGGCACTAATTCCCGTTCCTGATGCTGCTGCTAATGGAAACTGTCCCTTCCCAAATGTATCTCATCGCACTCTGGTTCAGCCGGACCCTGCAGTTTCAGGCTCAGAACCACACCCACCCACACAGACTGCCTCCCACCACAAGCAGATTTCCCTTAGCGCTCTCAGTCCTCCTCAGAAGCCCCTGCAATCTTAGGAGCACAGGTTTGGTCCTGTCCCTTCCTGTGTTGGGACAGTCTGCAGGGCCAGCCCATCTGGCATTGCTGCCACATCTCTTTCAGCTGAGAAACCAGCTGAGAGCTTCCGATCCCTGATCCCTCTGTCCTACTGTGCTTTATCCCTCCTGCCAGCCCTAAACCACTCCTCAGCCACCCAGAGGGACCAAAAGGCTCCCCTGAAATGACAGCCAAAACTCCCCCCCACTTTTTTTTTTTGTACCAGGGATCGAACTCAGGACCTTGCACTTGCAAGGCAAGCAGTGGAAACATTGAACTAAATCCCCAGCCCTCTTCCTTCCTCTTTTAAATCCTCCCTGCTGACTCACTTCATCTGCTCACTACCTGGGTGGGAGTGGCTGAAGCCCCCCACCCCTAAAATGAGCCAGCTCAGTGCTCCCAGGAAAAGCCAGATTGGTTTGAGGGGAGGAAGGGGGACTTAGGCTCCCCATTGGGGACCATGGCTACCAGGGGCCCACCTCACCCCAGCCCTCTCACTCCCAGTTCCAGCCTCTCCAGCCCCTTCGGATTTACTTCCTTGCTTCCTTTCTGCTATCTCCACAGCTCCCTTTCTCAGGCCCAACCTGCCTTGGGGGCTGCGTTGCCACTTCCCCCATGGCCTACCAAGCCAGAGCTCAGCTCCTCTTCCAAATAATGGATTTCATAGCCAGAGTCCTCCCCATCTGAAGAGTGCCCGCCAGTCTGCTCCCCATCACCTCATCCCACTTGGGGTGGGGTGGGGCAGGGGAGACAGCCTTCGCCTCTGGGGGCAGCCCTGTCCCTGCTTCTCCCGTTCCTGCCGCTCCCGGGGGGGATTTCGACACGTCCTCGGGCTGGCTCTCACATTTTCGTATTTGCTTGCCAACGTCCTCGGTGGCGCTCACATTTTCGTATTTGCTTGCCTGCATACACACATACACAAACCAAACCTGGGAATGCTTGGGAAAGATACATTTGGCGGGTGGGGGTGGGCAGGAAGCAGGCAGCCACTTTCGGAGCTCCACCTCCATCAGCCTCTGATACACTCTCTGAAGCTCACTTCCCGACTGACGACTAGCTGGGGAGGGCCATAGAGGTGATGGGAGAAAAAGAGCAGGGGACTGCGAACCAGAGTCTCCAAGACCATCTAGGAGCCCCCACCTTGAGGATCACTCCCTGCCTGGGTCTCACAAAGGGACCTCCGAGCCCTTGCCAGGCTGGGCGGGCCCCGAGCTGGAGGGTGGCGCGCAGAGAAGCAGGGACGGGGCGGGGCTGGGGGTCCCGCTCACAGGCAGGTAGTACAACCCGTCCAGGGGCCCTGCCTCCGAGGCCCAGGGCAGCAAGGGGCTGCCAAGGGCCT